AAAAAAAAAAAAAAAAAATCAGGGCTTCCCTGGTGGCGCAGTGGTTGAGAGTCCACCTGCCGATGCAGGGGACGTGGGTTCGTGCCTCGGTCCGGGAAGATCCCACATGACGTGGAGCAGCTAGGCCTATGAGCCATGGCCACTGAGCCTGCGTGTCCGGAGCCTGTGCTCCGCAACGGGAGAGGCCACAACAGTGAGAGGCCTGCATACTGCAAAAAAAAAAAAAAAAAAAATCAGAGGAAATTAGAAAATACCTTGAGACAAATGAAAATAAAACACAATTTTCTAAAATCTATATAGGATACAGCAAAAGCAGTTTGAAGAGGGAAGTTTATAGTGATACAGGCCTATCTCAAGAAACAAGAAAAACCCAGATAAACTACCTAATCATTCATCTATAGGAATTAGAAAAAGAAGAAGAAACAAGGCCCAAAGTCAGCAGAAGGAAGGAAATAATAAAGATCAGAGAGAAAATAAATAAAATAGTGACCAAAAAACAATAGAAAACATCAATGAATCCAATGCTGCTTTTTTTTTTGAAAAGACAAAATTGATAAGCCTTTAGCCAGACTCATCAAGAAAAAAAGAGAGAGGATTCAAATAAACAAAATAAGAAGTGAAAGAGGAGAAATAACAACCAATATCAAAGAGATACAAAAAATCTAAAGAGAATACTTCAGTTATATGCAAACAAATTGGAAAACCTAGAAGAAATGGATATATTTCTAGAAATATACAATCTTCTAAGACCAATGAGGAGGAAATTGACAACCTGAACATACAGAACACTAGTAGTGAAATTGAATTAGTAGTTTAAACAATTCTCTGCCAACAAAAGTCCAGGACAAAACAGGTTCACGAGGGAATTCTACCAAACTTTCGAAGAAGAGCTAATGCCTATCCTTTTCAATCTACTACCAAAGACTGAAGAGGAGGGAACACTCCCAAATTCATTTTACAAGGCCATCATTATTCTGATTCCAAAACCAGACAGAGACACTACAAAAAAAGAAACTTACAGGCCAATATTTCTGATGAACATAAATGCAAAAATTCTCAACAAAACACTAGCAAACCAAATTCAATAATACATAAAAGGGTCATACACCATGATCAACTGGGATTTATTCCAGGGTCACAAGGATATATACAAATAAACTAATGTGATACACACCATTAACAAAAGGAAGGATAAAAATCACATGATCACCTCAATAGACTCAGAGAAAGCATCTGACAAAATTCAACATCCATTCATGATAAAAACTCTTATCAAAGTTGGTATAGGGAACATATCTCAACATAATAAGGATCATATATGACAAATCCACACCTAACATCATACTCAATGGTGAAAAGCTGAAAGCTTTTCCTCTAAAATCACAAACAAGACAAAGATGTCCACTCTCCTCACATGCATTTAACACAGTATTAGAAGTTCTAGCCACAGCAATCAAACAAGAAAAAGAAATAAAAGGCATCCCAATTGGAAGGGAAGAAGTAAAACTGTCAGTAGTTTCAGAAAACATGATACTATATACATAAAACCCTATAGTCTCCAACCAAAAACTATTAGAACTAATAAATGAACTCAGTAAAGTTGCAAGATACAAGATTAATATACAAAAAAAGTTGCTTTTCCATACACTAATAATGAACTATCAGAAAGAGAAAGCAAGAAAACAATCCCATTTATAATTGCATCCAAAAGAATAAAATACATAGAAATAAACTTAACTGAGGAGGTAAAAGACTTATACTCTAAAAACTATACGACATTGACACGGGGAGGGGGAAGGGTAAGCTGGGACAAAGTGAGAGAGTGGCATGGACATATATACACTACCAAACGTAAAATAGATAGCTGGTGGGAAGCAGCCGCATAGCACAGGGAGATCAGCTCGGTGCTTTGTGACCACCTGGAGGGGTGTGATGGGGAGGGTGGGAGTGGGGGAGATGCGGGAGGGGGGAGATGTGGGGACATATGTATGTGTATGGCTGATTCACTTTGTTATGGAGCAGAGACTGACACACCATTGTAAAGAAATTATACTCTAATAAAGATGTTAAAAAAACAACAACAACTATATGACACTGATGAAGGAAATTGAAGACACCACAAAGAAATGGAAAGATATCCTGTGTTTGTGGACTGTAAGAATTAATATCATTAAAATGTCCATACTACCCAAGCAATCTACAGAGTTAATGGAATCCCTATCAAAACACCTATGATATTTTTCACAGAGCTAGAACAAATAATCCTAAAATTTTTATGGAACCACAAAAGACCCTGGATAGCCAAAGCAATCTTGAGAAAAAAGAACAAAGCTGGAGGGATCAAACTCCTTGACTTCAAACTGTACTACAAAGCTACAAGTGATCAAAACAGTATGGTATTGGCACCAAAAAAGACACATAGATCAAGAGCCCAGAAAAGAACCCACAAACTTATGGTCAATTAATCTATGACAAAGGAGGCAAGAATATACAATGGGGAAAAGACAGTCTCTTCAATAAGTGGTGCTGGGAAAACTGAACAGGTACATGTAAAAGAATGAAATTAGAACATTTTCTCACACTATATACAAAAACAAACTCAAAATGGATCAAAGACCCAAATGTAAGACTGGAAACCATAAAACTCCTAGAAGAAAACATTCCTTGACATAACCTGTAGCAATATTTTTTTGGTTCTGTCTCCTAAAGCAAAGGAAACAAAAGCAAAACTAAACAAATGGGATATAATTAAACTTAAAAGCTTTTGTATAGCAAAGAAACCATCAACATAATGAAAAGACAACCTACTGAATGGGAGAAAATATTCACAAATGATGATGACCAGTAAGGGGTTAATATCTAAAATATATAAATAGCTAATACAACTCAATATCAAAAAAACAAACAATCTGATTAAAAAATGGGCAGAAGACCTGAATAGACATTTTTGCAAAGAAGACATACAGATGGCCAACAGGGACATGAAAAGATGCTCAACCTTGCTAATCATCAGGGAAATGCAAATCAAAACCACAATGAGATATCACCTCACACCCATCAGAATGGCTCTCATCACAAAGACAACAAGTAACAAACGTTGGCAAGGATGTGGAGAAAAGGGAACACTGCTGGTGGGAATGTAAACTGGTACAGCCACTATGGAAAACAGTATGGAGGTTCCTCAAAAAACTAAAGGTAGAACTACCATATGATCCAGTAATTCCACTCCTGGGTATATATCCAAGGAAAACAAAAACACTAATTTGAAAAGTTACGTGCACCCTAATGTTCATAGCAGTATTATTTACAATAGCCATAATATGGAAGCAACCTAAATGCCCATCAACAGATTTATGTAGATGATATACATATCACACATATATATCACACACACACACACAATGGAATTCACTCAGCTATAAAAGAGAATGAAATATTGCCATTTGCAACAATATGGTTGGACCTAGAAATTATTAACCTTAGTGAAATAAATCAGAGAAAGACAAATCCTGTATGTTATCACTTATATGCGGAATCTAAAAAATAAACAAACGAATATGTATAACAAAACAGAAACAGACTCACAGAGAATAAACTAGTGGTTACCAGAGGGGAAAGGGAAGTGAGGAGGGGTGATATAGGGGTAGGGGATTAAGAGGGACAAACTACTATGCATAAAATAAATAAGCTACAAGGATATATTGTACAGCACAGGGAACATAGTCAATATTTTACAATAACTATAAATGGAGTATAATCTTAAAAAGATTTAATCATTATGTTGTACCACTGAAACTAATATAATATTGTAAATCAACTATACTTCAATTAAAAAAAATGTTGTAAATGCTGTAGTTCTCTGGTAAGTTTAGTAGATATAACAAAAGCCAGTAGGGCTGTATTACCACATGAGCTCATAAACAAATTTACTTAACAAGTATACCACAGTTGACTTTGGAGTCTGGCTCCCGGGGTTCAAATCCCATCCCTGCCATTTACTAATTTACTGTGCTAAATAAGCTGTCTTCATTATTATTAGCGTTTCTGTGTTATTCCCTAAACCTCCATGGATAGCCTCTAATCTCTTGACTCTCTAAAGTCTGACAGAAGCTAAACCAAAAAGAAACATTTAGAGATAAATTCAAGCAGCAGTACCATTCTTTCTCTGTCTATTAAAAAAAATTAAAATGCTATTGTAAAAATAGCCAAAACTCACTCCTTCCTTTCCCCTGTTTTTGGTGAGATATAATTTGCAGCAAGCATCAAAAGTGGTGCTGTAGCAAGTGGGCAGCCTGAGTGGGGAAGCAGAGACGAAGGGAAAGGTGATGAACAGTGTTTTGGAGAAATCAACTTCCCTAGAGCTCTGCAGTGTCAAACATTGGGCATTCAAAAGAAGAGAGCTGTTTCTATACTGAAATGCTTTTGCTGATTAGGACACATGGCACTGAACAGAGGATAAAGCGGGCCCCAGGCATGAGAGCAAAAGAATGAAAAGGCTGTGGATACAGAGTCTTGCATCCTGAACCTGAATCAGGTATGAAAGAAACAGCTAGAAGAAAGACAAAACATAAGAAAGAACAAAGAAAAATAGACTTATCGTTCACATGATGTTAAATGGATCCCTTTGGAAACATGTGATTTCTCTGTCGTTAATAGACGCACATTCTTTGAAAACACTACCTGTTGTTTGCTTGACTGAACGTTCAAAAGGCACAGAAGTCTTTTAAGATCTGAATAGTCCCTAGGAGAAAGAATAACACAAGGGGATATGGGGATATGTGTATACATATAGCTGATTCACTTTGTTATACAGCAGAAACTAACATGACATTGTAAAGCAATTATACTCCAATAAAGATGTTAAAAATAAAAAAAAGAATAACACAGTGTCAACCAACAGAAGACTCCAGGTGAACTAGTCATGTTACCCACTAGTAACATGGAACACTGCTACTTGGAGGCCTGCTTTTATAGACTGAAACACATACATGCTAAACGTTTCTGTAGAACTCTAGAAATGCACAAACATTTCAGTAAACACTGTACCCCAGAGCAGCAGTTGTCAAGGATCTACTCTATTTCTCAAAAAGCCATTAAATCTGGTTGCTGGCCACTGCCTGAGTTAATAATTAGCAAAGACTCAGAAGGGAGTTACCTGGTGATGATTCCTTGTTGTTTTTTATCGGTTGATTTTTCTGTGGTCTTCACTTTTTTGTCTTGATCAGGCATTGTAAAACATCAATGCCCCAGAATTAACATCACATTCCTTTCAAAGTAAACTAGAAGGAAAAACTTTAGTTGGGTTATGTGCTCCAACATATTCTCAATTAATGCAGGCAAAATTCACTTATAACATTTATTTAAATATGCACAAACTAACATTTATTTGTAATATAGCAATATAAATGCTAATATGAATAATAACATTTACTGTTTATCATTCAAAGGCCTTTGGATACATTTAGGGCATAGCTTATAATTATAGTAGTACTTTAGCCTATATTTTCTGAGTCATTCTTGATTTCAAATATTCTGACCCATTACCCCAACAAGTATTGATCTGCTTGTCAGGAAAAGTGCCCCAATTTGGGGTTTCCAAAATATACATAAGCAAATACCTGAAGTCCAACTGACACTTTTATGCCATCTTACTTGTCTTTCTTGGCAAGTTTCCTTAACAGTAGAGTACGCTGCTACTTCGGGGAGTTCCTCTCTCATCGTGGTCATGCCCCTAAAAATCCCAGAGGAAGCTCCACCCACTTGCAAATAAGCATTACAGTGTCAAGGGCAACACACAAAATGTCCTTGGGTTTCCAGAATTCCTAAAGTTTTTAAGCTGAATCCCCATGTGAGTCAACTCTAGTCATAACCTCTTCTGCAAGAACTGGGTCAGTCTTGCACAGCCCCTGGACTCACTCAAACATCCTGTTAAAAATAAGACAATGGGCGCATTGTTTTAGACAATGGAGTTGTTTATGCTAATCTCTGGGTCACTAAACTTAACTTAATTACAGTTTTGTCTCTCCCAGAAATGGGAACTTAAACTAGCCAATCAGGAATCTCCTGATCAGCACTAGTTAGGCAAGCTGCCTGATAAAACCCTCTATCCTCTTTAGGAAAAGTAACCTTGCAATAACCAATCCGTTTTTTGCCTAACTCCTAATGAAGAATAACTTCCTCATTCCTGCCCTCTTCTGCCTAGAAAAGTCTTGCATTTGTACAGTTCCTCAGAGCTCCTTTCCATCTGCTAGATTGAATGCTGCCCATTCATGACTCACTGAATAAAGCCAATAAGATCTTTAAAATGTACTCAGTTGAATTTTGTTTTTTAACAATCCAGACAGTGAGGCTGCCAGCCTGGGAACACAACCCAATAGGCATCTCAGTCTTCTGAATTAGGCTTTGTAGTCATTATGGTTGGTCACCCTTCCTAGGATAAATTTTAATACTATTTCCCACTCCTGCTCAAAAGGTTATTATGAGTTCACTAATGGAGAACAATTTATTTGTTTACCCTTTCCTTAATCAATTTCTGACTAAATTGTTTTAGAATAGAAACAAAAAGAAAGTTGAAGATACTCATACTTTCAATTACATAGCAAATACAAAATTAAATGTACTATTGGTTTAATTCTTGACTGGATGTAAAATTTTCCAGTTGCGCTTCAATGCTACTGCTTGACTTCAGAGTGTTTTTCAGGCATGAAAAATCATGCATTATTGTCCTACAATTCCATGCCTCAATGTATTATGAAATTGATGGTCAAAATCCAAGTGTTTCAGAGGTATTTAGAGGCAAAAGAAATGTGCCAATGGGTATTTTACTGCAACAGAATCTAGTGAAATTTAATTTTGCGAAATGAACAAACACAGTTTATCTAAGGATTTAAAAACTATTTTCCCAATATTGTTGTCATACTTGTGACAAATAGTTGAGCTGGAACTAAAAGCTGAAAAGCAAGGCTCTCATCACAGATGCACACCAAGAAAAGCACAATATCAATATTTTAGGATTGTGCCCAGGACCTAGCACCATGGCTTCATTCCTTCAAGAAATATTTATTGAATGCTTACTATGTCCAATCTCAGACAGAAAACTACTAAAGATAAAAGAGGATATCCCAGATATAGGATTCTACTACAAGCAAAGAAAAACCCACTTAGGAACTTTAAACTATGTTTTGTGAGATATTCAGATAGAGAGATGATTTAGCATCTGTTTAAAGGAAAGAAAGAAAAAAGGAAGGAACAAAGGGAGGAGTAGGGAGGAAAAGAGGAAGAATGGATGATCTGTACATAATTTTTCAAAAGCAAGAGATCCAAGTGCTTTTCATATATAGATATTAAAATGCCCCAAAAGTTCTAAAATAAATGGAAATCCAGTCAAAATAAATATAATCTAACTTTACTTTTCCCTGAAGAACAGAGGGAAAATTCCACATAGACACACTGGCCTGTCAGCTTCAAATTCTGCTCAAACCATAGCTCCAGACCATTTTAGAAACAGCGACGTGACAGTCACAGTGATTAGTACATGAAAATGTGTGGAAAAGCTCACAGGCTTCTGATGCTAGATGATATCTCCCACAATAAAACCCTACTAAACACTCTGTCTTATTCCCTTGTTTAATCTCTGTAATTTTATTGACCCAGTGTGTGAACAGGAAATAATCCTCTAATAGTTTTATCAGTTTAAGATTAGCTTCTACTCTGTGAGCTGGAAGAGTGAAAATAGATAACTCTCTGGAAATGTTTCACTTAATTTAACAGTAAACAAATTCACCAGAATCAGAAGAAATAGGCAATTGCCTTTAGGATAAAAAACAAAATCCTTTCCACTTGATGGCTGTTAAAATGGAAACTGTTCCAAAAAAAAAAAAACAAAACTTCAAGAACTTGGGAATACTATAAAATATTTAATTTAATCCCATCTTTAATTAACAAAAATGATAACACTATACCAAAGGCTATAATTCAAAACTGGTGGGTGGCAGGGAGGGCAGTTCATCTCTTAAGTCATTTCCTAGAAGCAAACAACTTTCTGAGGAAGTGTTCCTCAGAGGGCAAGTGAGGGCAAGAGCCATGCAGGTAGAGTTTGCCTCAGAGCCAGTGTCCAAACTTGAGGGAAGGAGTGGTTGGTAAAGGGCCCTGAGGGAGGTCCTAGCCCCTCAGGTGTAAGGGAGCAGGACCCTATGGGGCCTTCCTGGGGCAGACCCCTCCCCCATCCTCTGCTGTAGCTCGTCTCTGAAGTAGTATCTGATGCACATTTCCTGACTTGTTTTACAGATGCTAAAACCACCATCAAAAGGAAGAAATTAACTAGTTGATGATCCTAAGCACCTATTGGCACCTAAGGATTGATAATGTTAATACCCTGAAAGCTCACCATCAACCAACCAGACAATTGTGCATGAGTGGATCATATACCCTGGGACTCCCCTCCCTCACCTGGCCTTTAAAAATGTTTTGCTGAAACACATTGGGGAGTTTAGGCTTTTTGAGCACTAGCTGCCTGGACTCCTTGCTGGCCCCTGCAATAAAGCCTGCACTTTCCTTCACCACAGCTGGGTGTCAGTAGATTGGCTTTACTGTGAGTGGACAAGCAGACCTGAGTTTGGTTCTGTGACACAGGCACTGCTGACTGGGGGCAAAGAGACTCCAGTAGCTTGAGCAGTCCTCCCAAAAAGAGACCCAGGAGCTGGCTATTAGAAGCAAAAGAACTTTGAAGCCAATACCTGGGGCACACAAACAGGCCTTAGGGATGGGGGCTCTGTGGATGCCCACATCCCCCAAGGATGAGCGTGGGTGATGGGGCTGCAAGGGCCTGGCTGCAGATGCACACAGAGCAGAGTCGAAGGCAGTTCCCTCTTGCTTTGACTCTGACTTCTCTGAGCTCTTCCATCGTCTCCCTCACCCTCAGCCCACTGCAGCTCAGCTCCTTCAGGTCACTTAGCCTCAGCTCAGATGTCACCTCCTTGCTGAGAACTACTCTGCGACCCATTCACCATCACATGCTCACACTCACCACTCTACCCTGTTTTATTTCCTTGTGGGGCTCATCAACATCAGGAGAACTCCTAGCCATTCACTGGTCTCCATGCACTTGATAATAAGCCCCATGTGGGCAGGGACTGTGTCTGCTTTATCCTCACGCACAGAACAGCAAGTGGCACAGGGTAAGCACAGCGTATGGACTCAAAAAATATTTGTGTCACAATCAGTAAGGAGTGGCTCAGGTATTTTTACCAAAGTTTGTGAATTATTTGCTTTTTAACAATTACTAATTTTGGGATTAGAACCTCCCTTGACCACCCACCATCCCCCGCCCCCAACCAAGTCTGGTGCTCCTCCTCAGAGCCCAGGGAAGCCTGTACTCCCCACGCTGCAAACCTGTGCAAAAAGAATGGCAATTGCCTGACGACCCCATAAAGCAGGATTGGGTCTCCTGTATTCACCAGACACATGGTAGGCAAACAATAAATATTTATTGAAAAAAATTAATGAATGGATGAATAAAAGAATTATTTTTAAAAACCAATGTCATTATTCCTTTAGTTCAAAGGTCTTTCATAAAGCTTCCTTATAAATCAAATCAATTGATAAGTATTTGTAATGCTATAATAATATTGAACACACTCAGGAATGATCTAACTTATTCAATCTTTAGGAGGAAAATTGGAGTCCTAAATAAGAAAATATTCATGAACAGTGCTTCTCAAATTATCCATAAAGTTTTTTTTTTTCCAATCTATTATGGATCAACATTTTTGGTCCATATCGTATCCAGGAAAATAAGCCCATCACTGATCATGTGCTTGGATAGCACAGCAATGTCAAATTGCTATAAACATTTCTCAATGCTTGCTCTCAATTTTGTATCTCTCCCTCATGGACCAGTAACACTAGTCTGAAGATTACCTCAATAGCACTGGCCTAGGTACCTGAGGGTTCTCCTTTCAAATAACAATATTGTTTTCACAGTGACCCTAGATGACCCTCTGAGAATCACTGCCCTACGTGGAGTGCCTGAAAGGACTAACCCAGTCGTTGTCAATTCCAGGACAACCAGGGGAGGGTAAGAGTGGCTGAATGCACTATGTCCTATTTCTCTGGGGGTCTCTGTACAGTTTCATTTGAAAACAAGGTTCCACTGCTAAAAATAAAAATAGAAAACCACTCATTTTCTAACATTTATTTTACAGATGAGATGAGGCCAGAGATTATGATACTTGCTACACAAACACTTGTATTCACTTATATTCATATGGAGATTTTCCTT